AAAATATGATGAAATATTGATTTCTTAAAAGCAAAGAATATTAAGACATGTTGGTCCAGGAGACTAGGATAGAGCGCGTTTTACAATGTGCCAAACATTTTCCCGCCACATCTCAACACCAAAACAAAGAGATTGTAAGAGAAGAAATGTAGTGGTGGATCTTGAAGGAGTTGGGGGGGGGGGGTAACATCCTATAAGAGAGAGCGAGGAGCCCCACATGTTATATATTTGTTGCGTTTTTATTAAGGTTAAACTATAGCTAAGTTTAAACTTTAGTTTTGTACTTTTAATGTAAAAACTACTTAAACAGCAAGTTGTACCAAACTGAGTGCAGAGACGCAGAGGACTATGCATAGTTTATATATATTGCCTATACATGTAATATTGTACATGCATTATTCAATCGGCATTGTCGCATGCATTTTTTTTTCATATCACGAGGATATTTTAACAGATAAATATAAGAATTTTTTTTAAAACAGCAAATTTCAGTTTCTGAAGAATTTTAAAAAAAAAAAAAACAGCACATTTCAGTTTTTTTAATGAACTTCAACAGTTATATAAATCGGTTTGCGGCCGATTTTTGACGCTTGCGTCAATATGTTTCTTGTTTTACTACATATATAACAACGAGTTTTAGTAGACAACGAGGATTTTGACTGTTTTTGGGTTGTAGAAAGTTGTGTAATTTTAGTTTGTTAATTTTAGTACATTTATTTCGGGATTAAGAATATTGGGATGGAGTTGGCCTTGGTTTGTTATAAATAAGTTGGTCTATTTACATCTATCTGCTGAGCTGTTTACCGTGATCTATTGGTCTGAAATTACTACAGTCAGTTTACGGATATTTTATCCGTTGTTTTTTTTCAATTACTGGTTCAATTTACCTGTGCTAATGTAAGAACAAGTACAAAATACGTAGGTTTTAAGCATTTATTTAAGAAATAAGGTATCATTTTTTGAGTTTTATTGGGATATAAAACGGGTTGGTCACGTTATCAAATCTCATAAAGCCCGAAGGGCTAACATTTGTAACTTATTCATACTTTATATTTGCCTGATTGTGAATTTAACGTGTGAAATGCATTATTTTTCAAACTCAACGGCTAATCCACTGAACGCGCGTCGACCCTTTATGACGTCACAGAGAAATTACGTCGAACGTTTATCCATACGCACATATATGACCTCTTGACTCCGTACCTGTATTTATACAGTTATAGATCCGCATTGCTTTCATAAGTGTTATATAAAGGAAAACATTTGCAAATGTAAATATTTGGAATTATTATTTTATTTGGAAGTATTGTTTTATAGAAATAAAATATGTGTTCAGAATAAACCGTTTATTTGTTAACTTTACAAGACTTCTTTTATTTCATGTACGTCCTTAATTTGAAAGTAAAGAGAGAAAAGAATTGTCATACACCTGAGAGCTTATTTGGTGTCGTTACAATATTTTGGCATCCACGGCGGGATCTGTTAAAAAAACAGATCCAGTGATTAAACACCCCCCCCCCCCCCCCCCAAAGAAAAGAAAATAATATATCTGTTAAATTTACAGATGCAGTAGTTTTTTTTGTTGAAATACAAGTCTTGTTGGTTGTTCTGAACACATTATTACAAAATGGGTGGTAAAAGAAAGACAAGAAGTCCTGCACAAGTTCGAGGTCGTAGCCAGTTTTCTCCCTTGAGCAGAGTTGTATCAGATGATGAAGAGATCCGTGAGATTTTGAGTTCCAGAGAAGATAGTCCAGTTAAGTATTCCAGATCTGAAAATGAAAGAAATCATTTTGAAACGGAAACACAAGTTAGTCATATTGAGCCAGAAAAGAGCCTAGTTACAATGATAGGGTCACCTCTTACTCTTAACTACCTATACAGATGATTTACCTGTCACTTGCAAAAGTAGTCTTACACCTGCAAGTCTCACAAATGTAGTCCAAATGACAAGTACACACACGGTACCTCAGATCTCTACACATACAGTCTAACTGCATGCACCTACACAGTTGCATTTTTCTCATGAGAAAGTTGTGTACAAACATTACCACTACACGTGCCAAATAAAGCATTACAGACAAGTTATACTGTAGTGTTCCTTATTTTGAACAACTTTAAAATGCAACACATACTCATGAACCCCAGTTTCGGAATCCAATATACACTGTAAATAAGGTAGTTCAAATTCATTTTGGCTCTGTGGAATATTAAAAGTATTCAAAACTGACAGGTGATTTTGAAGAATTTCTTCCTTAGAAAGGGAAGTATGAGTATAAGTAGAACTACCACTTGTAGAATTAAATCCAAGTTCTTCTAGAATGCAAATCATATAATGAGCCTTACAAACGAAGACAGTGTTGTTAACTGCTTTGTCGGCAGGGACCAGTACGTACTGATTGTGTAAACTATCTAAATTTTTTTCACTTCTGGTTTATTGAACACAGAAGGATAGATGGTTTTCATATTGCCCCTCAATCTTTTTTTTACATGGATCTGATACATTTAATCCATTCTGACAAGGTGTCAATGTCTTCTTTTTCATAATTGGCCCATCGTCTGGCGCAATTTTCAACTGAATCCATAATATTTATGAAATTCCGACGCCAGTTGAAGGATCGGGGTTCTCTATACTTACAGTGTAGGACCTTTTAAATTATATATTTACGTCACCTGTAATAACGTGTCCAGCAAGACTATAGTTATAGGGCGAAGAAGAGCATGAACACGAAGGAGGATTATGTTTCAGATAGTCAGTATCCAGGCCATGTAAAGTGTTTTTGTAATTGAAAAGTTTGGAAGCAATGGTCGATGTATATTTGTAGGAAATACAAGGTGTAGTCTTTAACTTGAAATATGGTCGAATACAAGACTGGACCCTTTTGTGATTAAGAATATTACTTACATTAACCGCGTCAATTCCTTTATTGGCATATTGAAGTTTAAGGAAAAGACGGATTGTTTTAGCTGCATTTTCTTCTGTGAAACGTGCGGGTTTAAAAAGCCTATGATATACAATATCCATAATCACATATCCGAGCCTATATTCAGGTGACGAGGAATCTAAAATTGGATGTTCCTTGGCCTTTTTAAGAAGACTATTTAAAAGTTTCAAAGGGACAGAGTAAAGTTTTGTTCGAATATAATGTAGACCTAACTGTTGATTTACATAAGGTAGTAATGAATCAAAAGAGACGTCGTGTATTGCAGGTTTATTGTACGAAGAGTAAACTTAAAATCAATCGACAAAAAGTAAAATCAAATCAAAAAAAAAATAAATAAAAGGGGGCTCCGAGGTAAAACCCTGTCAACGTCGTAGATCTCGGCTGTGAACATGATGTGGCAAAGAGTAATTAGTTCTATATAAGGAAAAGAAAGAAAATATGTGGGTGTTTTTGTGCATACAAATTATCTTGCATGTAAATGAAATTTTCCTTTAATTTTTTAAAAAAATATATACTTCATGTTGTTGTTTTTATTCGCGATTCGGTATCCTTTTTGTGGTTTTCACAGTTAAAACAGAGTACTAGGTTTACCGCTTTTTGGCAGGTGATAGTCATACTGCTGATTCAGTACAAAGTAGTAGCATATAATGACAAAGTAGTGGCATATAATGACAAAGTAGTAGCATATAAAGACAAAGTTATATATTAACACATAAATCTTTATATACTTTATAGCCCAAATTCATTTGCATCAGCCCGTAATTTTTAAATCCTAGCGAGCGAGCCTAGAGTGCCATGCTACCGCATGGCCTTACTATTTATACCCTATGTAACCAGGTGACTTTTAAGGAACACGCTCAATAATATCATACCGCACATAATTTTAATTTTGTTGTCAGATGGAGGTTGGAGGTGAGTACCATTTTATTTTTAAATGTCAACTTTATCATTAGTACAGGAAATTGTAAATTAAAAAGTATTATTGGTATAGACCTAACATGTATAAACTATTTCAATTATTATCAACTGAAAATGTGAGTAAACTTAGTAATTTAGAGAAATTCCTCTAAAAAAGCAGAAGTACTTAGAGATTCACATTTGTAAACTGAGCCGGTATTTTTCTTTCTATGTTTGGTTAGAAATATTGCATACAAGCAATGTATCTTAAAACAAGTATATGTAAATACCGGTATTTCATTTATGCTTTACATCCTGTATTATACATGTAATTCTGTTATCTGATAAGTCATATGACTTAAGGAAAAAGAAAACAAACAAAAGATCATTTAATTAAACTATTAAAATTAAATTTGGCCATCGATCCATTTTTATACTGTTGCAATTGTTAGGGAAAAACTACACATAGACAATTAATTATTGATCGAAGCTGCCTAAAAATGTTATGATTGAATGTTTCTTGAGTGCTTAATTTAGTGTAACACGTTATTCAATACGAAAGGTTGATTATGTAATGCTTTAATTTATGAACCTTAAGCAGAGCAGAACGGTCAGTGACATAGCATGCTAAAGAACTTGAAATTGCATTTAAGCTTGTTATTTTTGCATTCAGGGACTTGCAGGGATGAGAGAAAAGCGGGGCAGTTAATTGTAAACTGCAAATGAATATAATTCTTTAGCAACTAAGATTGTCTGGACTTACAAGTGTGAAAGAAGAACACGCCAATTTATTTCCAATTTAATATATTACTTAGTTGAGGTAGTATATCATTTTATGATGACGACAAAGAAAAAGTTGAGCGTAAACGGACTAATAGTTCCAGCATTCTTGCCATTCCAAACCTTAACGGACGCCAGAAAACGAATTGCAGATATTGTTAATATAACTACGAGAATAGATGACGATTTTGTTTTTTCCTATCCAAAATCAGCTAAATGTGTTCTGCATAATATTTAATCACTATAAGGAACAACTTCCACTCAATTTTTCTATGATTTTATTTGCATATTTCATAATATATATAATAAAAGTGAGAGCGATGAAATTGGACATCATCAAAGTATTTTATTTGATTTGAAAAGGAAACCACTGGCTGAATGCAATTGTGCCCCGCCTTCAGAATTCAAGTCTGGACACCCCTCACAAAATGACAGAAAAATTCCTGGAGTTTATTTCAGATCTTCAAGAACTGGAAACAGTTCCTTCTCCTCGTATAATGACGTCACATCTTCCAGTTAAGTATACTTCAAAAGATATAAATGGAAAAATATTCTACTCCATTCGAAACCCCAAAGACGTCGCAGTGTCAGCTTTTCATCATTACACAACAGATCCAGTGGTCAAAGACTATGTACACCCTGATTGGAACAGCTTCTTGGAAGATGTATTACGTGGAGGTAGGTTCAATTAATTGTTAATAGTTTTTTTTTTGCACATATTATATTGCTGTCATTTCGGCATTATCATATATTAAAACGTTGGATAAAAAGCCATAATGAATGGGATATATTTTATGATTGATCCATATGGAGAGGGGCGTTATTAATTGTGCTTTGATCATAACGTGTATCTTTGTGCTCTTAAATACTAAACTGATGCATAAATCAGTTCAAATGAACCTAAAGCATATTTGCAGCTCTGTTCTACAGCAAGTCAAATGATAAAAAAGAGTATGTAGGTATAGAGCATTTATTGCAAATGCCAAATGAAATTACAGATTTTTACAATTACAGAATGCAGCAGAAGGTGGGGTCCAAAAAATATCCCACACCTTATACAAAAGAAAATTTGTACATATATTTTCTGCAACAATAACACCATTTATGCAAGATTGAAGGGGTGGAATTGAGTTAAACTTGTAATCCACCTTTTCGGAACCATAGGCGCTCCCCATGTAATTCTGTAAATGACGAAAGATAAGTTTATATAGGGCTATCCCCTCTATTCTATAGTACAGAGGGGGTAGACCTACATATACTTATCTTTTGTAATTTACAAAATTACATGGGGAGCGCCTATGTTCGGAGCCAAAAGTTAATTTGATAAGAATGAAGCTAAAAGCCGTTTAGATCACATAAATTCCTTTATTTACAGAAATACATTCTCTCAATATACATACAAAAATTAACATAAATCGTACTTAAAATGCGAAAATATCTGAGAAATTATTAATGCCATTACAATTCATTGTTGAGATATTCCTATTTTATTTTAAACAGAATGCTACTATGGAAGTTGGTTTGAACGAGAGAAAGAATGGGAACAAGCAGCACAACAAAATCCCGAAAAGATATTGATAGTCTATTATGAAGATCTAAAGAAGGTATGTTCAAGAAATATGTTGTTCATTCATTAACGTCCTAAGGCATACCGTCGAACTCAACGCTTTTCATTATTCAAAATAACAAACGGATGATAACGTCAAAGTATCTAAAACAGCGTTACGTTTCATCTTTGCAATAAAAATGAAGTTGGATTAGTCCCACTTAAATTTGGGAATTTGATAGATGCACTTAATTTAGTCTCCAAAAACAGTTGAAGAACCGATCTTCCGCAAATGTGCAATCTTCTGATGATTTATTAGTAAGTAACAAACAATATTCCCACATCATTCAACTTATAGAAAATCTTATATTGATGGTAAACAGTGACAGCGTCTTTTGCTATTACAATTATAGCAGTTTGTCCGTACCGTATGTTTTGTACTACCTGGGGACTCGATCAAGAAAGATTTCCCTAAGAAAACACCCATTTCAATTCTATATAAAAAAGTTCTGTTGATTTATTTTTTGTTCTATATCAATTTTCAGTGTCTTAGAGTGTTATTACACCATCTAAATCAAACTGAACTGCTCTCCGGTGCACCGTAACGTCATCAAACGTCACCATTTTCCGTGACCACTTTCTCATTTCGAATGCTCAGGAAACTGTCAAAAATTAACCAAATGCTTTGAAGTTTTTAAAAAGACGACAGAATTAATTGTGGAATCGAATAAGGATAATTTTTAACCCAATCTTATCTATTTAAATCTTTTATATCGAATCAATACTCTCGTATCCTGCCATGCGCAGTGGGACCGTGCCCTTTGCACATTCAAGCATAATAAACTCTTTATTTTTGTCTATATTTTATCACAAAAATTATGATGCACTTAAATATGATAAATAAATATTTTCTGAAAATTTCAGCTTTGTGCGGCCATTATTATTAAAAAAAACCCGCTTTTTTCACGATTTAACCGGACAACGCTCGTATTACATGAAGATTTTAAGAAAATATGTTCAATTGCCAATGATATTATATATATATATATATATATATATATATATATATATATATATATATATATATATATATATATATATATATATATATATATATATATATATATATATATATATATATATATATATATCCTAGACTGGTATGGAGACGATGCATCGAATATCCAGTTTTCTCAGAATACATGATCCTGCATTTCTTCAAGCTGTTTATGATGAATGTAGCTTTATACATATATATATGGTTAAAAAATAAAGTGTTCTTCATCTTGAATGAAATAGCTTTAAATGTTGAAACCCAGTGTATATATTGTTTTTCTTACTGCAAGAGAGGTAGGTGATTGGAAATCAATGTTTACTGAGAAACAGATTCTTCAATGAACAAATGAAGGATTCAAAATTGAAAATTCAATGGAATCAGATGCTGTTTATATTGACATTCAAAGGGCTTTTTAAAATCACATATTTTTTTTCGTATCTAAATCTTTTAAGTGATTCTTATTTACTTCCTTACTATAACAATTATTTAAACACTCTCCATTATATTATTTTTAGAAATACGCAATATAGGTACATATTGAATAGAGAAAAATATGTATTAAGTTTATATAACTCATTCTTATATATATGTGTAGGGCTATTTTTTAAAAATATATCATAATATGTATATATATATATATATATATATATATATATATATACGTAACTTGGTGTCTACAGTGACTGTTTTTTAAATTAATAAGCTATTTTTTTCTGGTGAATCCTTTTTGAAGTATATAAACACTAGTTTGCATGTTTTATTGCATGACTTATTTCTGCCTTATTCCATTATAATTAGAAATATATCCAAGATTACCAATGGACACCGTTACTTACATAAGCACTAAACAAGTAACATGTTACTAGAATTTAACAACTTGTTAAAATATGAAAATAATGTAATCAATAAGGTATGATGAAATCATGTTTAATGTTAAATTAAATAGAATTTATTTAAAAAGTCACAATTTTTATTTCTAGTTTCAAAAAAGGAGAAATTATGTAAGTAACATGGACACCTAACTCCGAATCAGGCTTTAAAAAGGAACAAAAAAAAATAACAAGACAATTGAACACTTGTCTTTAATACTTTTAATATTTCATTTCAAAGCTTAATAATAGACTAGCTTTCAAAGAGAATTAATGCAGACAAGTAAATTGTCAGATGGATTGCTAAATATCCTAGGTCGTCTATTTTGATTCTTGGATCTTTGTGTCATTGTTACGAACATAATTCAGTCATTTCTTGTAAATCTGAAAGAAAATAAAATATATAAAACAAAATACAACATGATGTAATCAACACATATGCTGTTTAATTATATTTATTATATATCCTTGATAAAACTAGAAAGAAGGCAAATAAAGTACAAATTATGTCACTACTTCAAGTTTACGTGTCTCTGTTACGAACGTAATTGCGTAAATGATATGGCAATATAAAAACAAATATTCAATAAGTATTCATCCTTTGATAAGAACAGAACAAAACTAACAAATATGAATAAAAATATAGTACAATATAACTTTATCATTCATAGATTATACAAATAATGCAAAAACACTTATGTTCGTAACAAAAGACGCGAATCAAAAGTCAAATGTTAAACCGAAAGTACTCGACTCGGACAGATTTATGCATTTTGTATGGTCATAAGCGACATATTTTAGTTTCTGATTAATAGTTACATGGTATAAAGATACAATGACTGTATTTATGTGTTAAACATTTACTAAAATTGATACAATATGAAAATACTTACTGAATCTATTATGTACGTAACTTCTTTTTTTCCACATGGACACAATGAGCATCGCCATGTTTTTTAGCAGACAGCTGCGCAACCTTTCTACTTTCGTTTTCAATTTATAATTATACCACTGCTACGGACTTCCTGAGCCAAACTTATGATTCATTGGCTGTTATTTTAGCAATCATACTGAAAGCTATTATGTTCGAACGGTCAAGACACCAAACATTTTACAATCAGAGATCATCTTAAAATTACAAAAACAACTGAGTTATGTTCATGAAGCATATTGTTAAAAATAATTTATCACACATACTCATTAATTAAACACAGAAATTGAACTTGACAATTTATTTAATGTTTTATAGAGGTGTCAAAAAGTTCAATGCATATGGACACCATGCGTTACGGACATAAACAACAAATTTTTAAGTTCAGAAAAAAATAATTACGATAATTTTAGCATGTTTGACAAAATAAATATATTATTTCATATATATGCTAAGATAATGTACACATATATCATGCCCAATGATATTTTTAAATAAAACAATATCTTTATGCCTATTCGAAAATTATGTCACATTTTCTGCAATTGAAATCCTCTAAATGCAATACAACAATGATCAATATTTTTTTATTCTTCAACTCATATCCATTAAACTATTTATACTATATCCTTACACATGTATAAAATCATATCAATATCAATCTATCTGCTTACACTTTATTTATTGGAAAATAAAGGAGAAAAGAAATATATTTTAAAAATTCACCAGTATTGAAGAATGAGTTATATACTACATTGTATTTGGAAAAAAACATTAACTGAAGGTCAGTTGACAGGTTAAAAATGTATAATATTTTCCAGAATTTGTGATTAAAATATTGCTGCAACGAAGAACAACACGAGCATTGGCGCATTTACGTGTATAATGCTGTTTTTGGAATCTGTTGATCTGCTTACATAAGGATTTTTGAATTATGCAAAAAAAAAAAAAAGATTTACATTAAGATTTATCAATGTTATAATTCAGCAGTAAATATTAAAAAACTATAGAGAATTAGAGAGTTCACTATTTAAGAAATATGCTTGTACTTCATTTGTTTACTCATCTTTTTGTCAGATAAAAGATCTGTAAAATATTATAATACAGACCTATATATACATGTATAATATGTGATAATAGAACATTGTATCATAATTATGAGAAATTGAGGATCATTATTATAGTTGTATTTTGTAGAAACTCTGATTAATTTCTGTAAATGGTGTACCAACTCTAACTTATTACTCTCTTTCTACGTAGGAATTTCTTCAAATCATACGATGATTTCACAATTTTACTATTGCAACATTTAAATTAAAATGGAATGTGCAACACTTATACTGGATTATTAACCTACATAAAAAAATCCTCAAAAAGAAAATTACTTTGATGGTAAAAAATACAGGCCTTTTAAATATACTCCCCTGACATTTATTTCTCGTAAAATACGTTTATAAAATTCATTTATGTTAAAACCTTACTGGTAGTCCAAGGCAACATACTAGCTCTGTTTGTTTCCAGTATCTAAATTTACAGAAAACATTTTATTGTTTAAAAAGCATGTCATTTAAAGGGCGAAAAAATGTAATCCATAAAACAATTACCAAAGAATTTAACTGGGAGTCATACCGGCATCACGGGAAGCTTGTTGACAAATAAGATGTTTCTTGAATAGAAATACAAGTCGCTAAATTATTACACAACAGTGGTCTCCCAGCCATAGAATTGTTACAATACACAGATGCGATAATGATATATAAAACATCAAACTTATTGAAAAACATATTTAGACTCTGTTGCACATGTGAAGAAATGTTATTTGAATTTTTTAAAAGTGCTGATAAAGCATGTACACATTGTATTCTAAATGGGCATTCTATTGTTAAAGGCTTCTTAATCTTATGCCCAGTTACACCCGAAAAACAAAGCCATATGCTACCCCTGCAGATATGAAAGGCGTTATGTAATAAAGTGTCCTTCACCTTGGCACAGAAAATAGTTGACATGGAATCTGGACAGATTTTGACAAATGGAAATAGGTGCTATATGTTTGATATACTAACCTAAACACAATCAATTAACTTACTGAGTAGTCTATGAAAGTTTATTATTGAATTTTTGTGAGGAAATCTATGTATAGTTTTCTTTAAAAATAAATTATTCAATTCAAATGATAATAACATAATGTCTTTGTGTCCCAAATTGTAGTGCAAAACAAACAGTGCATGGAAACTGTATTTGCTTCCACCTACAGATGGCAATTTTTCATCTAAATACATCAGGAGTTAGGGAGAAAACTAAATTCTAATCTCTTTTTTGAGAAAAATTAGTTTTTTTTACGGTTCATATTAAGATCTGATATATCTCTTCTTTTTGGATTAGTTGACATTTTCGGTTGGCTGAACTTCTACAGCTGACAGCGACTATGGAAAAAGAAGTGTGGAAACCATGTTGCGTCAAAATGAAATAACTAATACTTAAAGTCATATACGCTATCTGAACGCCGAATTTTGTGTGAAACAAAATGATTAATGATTTAAAACACATGAAGTGTAATGAAAAATAATACTTTCCACAAAATTGTACTATAGATGTCGTTGTAATAACACAACAATTAAACATATATAGGAATTAAGAATTCAGTCTTTTCATGAATATTGATGAAGGAAGTGCGTAAACAGTATGCCTATATATAGAAACACATGTCCACGGGAAATCAGAGACAACGAGGTATGTTGCATTTTGACAACAATTATTAATATAAGGTCAATATGAGTCATAACAGAGAAGATGGTTGATACTGAATACATTAAAAGATAAGTACCATTAAGAGTAAGACGCTTGCCATCCACGTCAAAAGTGAGTAGTATCTCAAACGGCCTACCTTGTTTTCTTTACGCCACGTGTGTTTATCAATCTAAAAGTAGCGACGGCGTCACGTGATGGATTTATTTAAAAATAGATATTTTTCTTTCCTTGCAGGATAATAAATAATAATAATTTGATAACTTTGTAACGCGTTTAATTTTAATGGTGTAATTTTCAGTATTTTCGTAACTTTTATTGATAAACAAATTGTATCAATTTCCAATCGTATTTTAATTGGCGCAAGTTATAGCGTGTATTCTTTTAAGCATTAAATTCATATTTTGGGATGTCTTCGGTCCTATAACACACCTGGCCGTGCCGAAAAATTTACATTCTCTAATTTTTCTTTATCAGAATTGTTTATTTCCTTCATGTTTAATGTGAATTTATTGCCATTGGGTATTGACGTGCTTGATAAACGTAATAGCCGGTCGTGACGTCGAAAAGCCGTTTGTGACGTCGGAAAGTTAAATAACGCAAATAAACATTGCGAGGAAATAAAATGACAAATTAGTTTTTAATGCACTTTCGCCGTATTTTATGTTAATTTTACAAGGGTAGTTTTTTTTAATGAAATTGAGTCAAAACAATATACATCTTGATATTCCTAAATACTGAAAATACATGTACTGTGATGTAGTTCCTTCTGTGTATTCTACCGCGCTGTGACAAGGTTTCGCGTGTGTTATAGAAAGTTGAACGTCATGGATTTCTAATAGATTTAATAAAGAAAATTACACTGAATGTAAATATAAACAAATGATATAATCTTATTAATCAAAATGGTTATGGTTATTAGATACATGTACATTCGTTTCCGCATTTTTAATGGTTCAAAACAAAAACAAAAAAAGAATACAGTAACATACAATACCATATTACATCTGCGCAAATAACCGAATGCCAAAACTGTTATACTAGTCTACTAAATGATATATGCATGTATATATTCTTTATATATATGAACCACAGTATTTCTGACCCATTGAAAATAATATAAATAGTTTTGCAAGTACGTTATAAACATTGGCCCGGGCTAGTTTGAAAGAGAAATTTGGAGATAATCTGTGGTTGTAAATCTTGGCTTCAAATTCTGAATCAGAAGACTTAAAACTTTCGAGTAAAAAACACGTGTGATGCGAAAGCTGAAGACAGCATTACTCCGACAAATGAAATACTGGGAACGCATTTCACAAAATTTTCGAGATGCTAGGAATGAATTGTTAAGAATGACTCACCTTTTTCTACTTGTGAGGGAACAGACACGTAGCATCAGGGGGCAAGGGGGACCTGCTCCCCAAATGTTAAAAAACATTTTACTGTTAGAAATGTTCATTGAACATTGCCCCCACCCCCACCCCCCACACACACATTCCCGAATTTTAGTTGTAGTACATGTAAGTTAATGAATAAAATTTAGTAATGAAAGATATTGGAACCTTTTTTAATTGTCATGT